ATCGAATTTTCATGATTGAAACCGTTCGATGATCATGTTCTTCTAAAAATTACTTTTTTTTTCACAGAATTTTTTTCGAAAGTTTAAGTAATGGCCGACAATCACATCATCAGAGACTATTGTTTTGAAGATTCAAATATGCGACATGCTTTTACATTATCAGAAAAATAATTTTTTTCTTCAATTTATTTGTTAAAAAAAGTTTCGAACTCGAAAAATTCAGAGAAAAATCGTTCGTAGTGAAAGAAAAATATCAAATAATCAATAAAGCTCGTTTGTCAGGTATATATTCATATTTTTTTAATGACTTTTCGGCAGCAAATAGGCGAAAAAATTTTTGAAAAAAAAAGTAATTTTCGAAAGAACATGGTCATCGAAGGGTTTTGGAACGGTTTTAATTATGAAACTTCGAAAAATTCATCATGAACCGCCAAATAATGATGGCAAAAAACGATGTCCGCAAAAAAAGAGTGAAATTGAACTTTTTGGAATGAAATATACTTTTTGATATCTTTTGATGGTTTTCCTTGAAGATAAAGATAAAAATTTTGTTTTTTTAACATTAGCCAAAAAAAGTGCTTAATAACAAAATATATACAATAAAAGTGCATGAAGTTAAGAAGAATTCAAAATTTTTTTGGAAGAACGATAAAAAGAAATTTAGCAAAACGAGACGATTGAAGTAGAAACTCAAAAGTTTAATTACCGATCAGTGTTCAAATCCGCAGAGGAAGGTTGATGAGTGCTTTTTTCCCTTCCTTAGATCTTCGCATGGTGTCCTCGTATCATCCTTCTTTTCGAATCGTGGAAAATCTAGAAGGAGAGAAAGAACATGATACAGACAAAAATTGAACGGTCTAAAGCATGATCGGTCACTTAAGCTCGACCTGTAATTTTCGCTCGATTTTTATATGTTATTCCGCGCCAGCTTGTCACATTTTTCTTTCCGCCAAAAAGACCATATACTAAATGTAATCAAATTTTCGCTTTTATAACGGAAAGAAACAAAGGTCTTAAAGCGAAATTTCGTTAAATTTGACCTGGCCTTTTGGCGGAAAGAAAAACGTGACAAGCTGCCACGGCGTTCTTTTGACGACGCCCCTCCCACAATTTCCGTAATATTTGACGTCTTTTGTGCATACACAGAACGACGCTAACTCGCATACTCATTAAATTCAAAAATAATTTTTTTCCTCGAAAAATAGCGTTTTTTCAAAACTATAGACGTGGAAAAAATCGATCCTTTCACAATTCCTTTTCTAGTTGACAAAAAAACATTTGGGTGAAAGTTTTTCTTATTTTCTGAACACTTTCATACCTTTCACCCTCAAAAATTGGTTAAAGTCCTTTTGAGTGAAAAAAACGTGGAATTTTTGTGGCGAAAATGACTTATTGTGGTTCTATGTGTCTTTCCCGACTTATTGAAAATTAAAAAAAGTTTTTCTTTACAGATTTAGTTTAGTTCATCCACCTAGTGGTATTTTTTTCTCCTCTGCAACATCGCCATACCATTCTGATGTTGCGAAAATGAAGAGATTGATTGATTCAAATAAAAAATTTAATTTGACACTGAGAATGTTGCTGAAAGGCTTTTTTTTGCTTTAAAGGGAGAATTTGGTCAAAACACAGCAGTTAATATTGAAAATTGAAAAAAAAAGTTCCTTCGCATTTTGCTGTCGCAATAAAAAACAATTACCGTAAATCAGTACAAAACAGATAAAGATAGAGCTGAAATAAACATGAAAAATCACGTGAAGCACTTGAGCAACAAGAAATTCAAATGTTCGCGCGCAAGCTGTCTACCGTAAATCTAGGTGGAGCAACCCTTCCAAGCCGCTCCACATTTTCAAAAATTTTACATTTTCTTCCACTGCGCAGAACGCCGTGGCTGGCGCGGAATGGCCTATATGAAGTTTTTTCATATTTATTTTAATATCCCCGGTGTCCTCTTACTTTCCGAGTTAAGATTTTTTTTTTAATACTTTCAAGGTATTGCATAGTTTCATCCATTCAATTCTTTTCAAAAAAATTTTTGAAAGCGGATATAATTTTTCGAAGTCCCTGCTCAGAAAAAACTTACAAAAAAGTATAAATAGAATTTTTTACAAATTCTTTCAACGAAGCTTATAACTAATTCAAAAGAGATGCAAACAATTTGAACTTACGCCCCAAAAAACGAGAAAATAAGTTTGTAAGTTTCGTTAGACTATAACCAGCGGGTACTTGTGAGCCTGAAAATCACCCGGAAAGTACAAAAAAAAGGAACAACTTAATTGTTAAAAGCAGGGATTTTAAAATACCAAAAACAGTTCCTCCTTTTTAGATTTTTCAATAGTTTCGTAAAAAAAAAAGAACCTTTTCGAAAATTTTGCGTCACCTTGAAAGTATTTTTAAAAGATTAATATTCACTTGAAAAATTAGAAGACACCTGGACATTAAATATAAATATGAAAAATTCATGAAAACGAAGCAAAAATTACCGATCGTGCTTTAGTGACGTTCGCGAAAAAAGAAAGAAAAAAATTATTAGACTTCTGCGCGCCAGTGCACTTTTTGAATTGGCGCGCGCGTGAGGCAAGCTCCCACTCGGACATTGGTAACGCGAAACGGACGTTTCTGGGCGATTCTAGGGATCCCTTAAGAGTTCTGAGGTTACTAAAGTAGTCACTAGAAATGCCGCGACACGTCCGATTCGCGTCCCGTTCGCGTTACCAAGGTCTGAGCACGTCTGGATTTAGCGGCGCTACACACGCGACGCAACACGCAAACGCGTTGGGCTAGAGTGGAAGGCAGAGACGCAGAGGAACGAGAGTCTGCCAACATCGCATTCTTTCATCTCATTCTAACTTTTGTGAATAGAAAAGCGACTTTCTTATTTTTCTGTAGTTCGCATTGATTTCGTGATTCACGGTGTTTTTTTCATTACGCAAGGTCAAGACTTTTCGTAAATTATGATGCTTAGGGTGTAAGCGCACCGAGACGCACTATCGCATACTCAAAATGTTTTTTTTCAATTTTATAATTTGCGATTTCAGGATACACAGCGTTCTAAACGCCCCTTTTCTGAAAAGCATGCGGACGTTGCATGAGTGGGCGTGGCTAACAATCGTCTTTTTCGCGTCGTAATTAAGAGTCCGGATTTTTTGATTATTTGAAGGCTAGCATTTTTTTTTCCTGACATTTATAGTTTCCAAGTGTTGCTAGTCATTTCCTATAACTCTCTTAAAAATGTCGCAGTTTATTTTTCTTGTGGTTTGATTGGTTCAAAGGACTACATAATTGTTCTGTTCACGAAAGTTGAAATTTTTTTAACTCAGGTTTGATTTTTGTATTCTTTTTCCTGTTTAAGTAATTGAAAACTGATAATGTGATCGATTCCTGGAGTTGAAATTTCGATTTTTCTGTATTTGTCTCTTAGGGTACAGACCAATTACACCTTTTTTTGAATTTTTTTCCGTCAAGTCGAAATTTTTTTCTCTTTTGCGCGGACACTGACAGCTTTTTTTCTTGTTTATTAGTTGGAAACTGATATTTTGATCGATTCTTGGAGTTGGAATTTCGATTTCGGTTTTATCTCTTGGATACAGTATTTTCTTTTATAAACAACGTTTCGACACATTACTGAGCTATGGATACTTTAAAAACTTTCTAATACATTTAAAAACATTAATTAAAAATTTACGTGCATAGAAACAAAAAAAAGATTTTAAAAAACAATCGAAAAAAGTTAATAGCATGTAAATTAAAGAAAAAAAAGCACTTTGATTTTGATTGACAACGCTCCAAGTTACGCGCTCCATTGAGAATAGTGTGCGCCTCTTTTTGCGTAAACCCCGTTTTAGAACGCTGTGGATAATAGCTCCTGAAATGTTCGAAATTTGTCAGTTTGAAGAATATGATGTGAAAAAAACATTCACTTACGTTAAAAAAAGATTTAGGAACGATTGCGAAAGGGGAAAACTCTAAATTACTGATTACAAAATAAAAAAACAAAAAAATAATATGAAGGTGAATCAGCTCCCATTGAATAAGCATTTATAAATACGAAAAAAATATTGAAATGAGGAAAAATTCGAGGAGCAAATGATTAAATACCTCGAAAACCTAGCTTCAGAAAAAAACAAATAATGGATAGAAAGCAGAAATTTTTAGAAAAAAACCTCGTATGGCGAAATTTTTTTGTTCAAATCCGAAAAAAACCATCAAAAAAACTAGAAAAAAATATATGATTTAGATGATTCATATATCAGAATCATTAAACTGCATCAGCAAATTCAATTTGGCTCTAATTTACACGAAACCGGTTTCAAACTACGTCAAAGGAACTAGATAATAACTTTTTATTATTAACTGATTAAATTAAAAAAACTATAGTTTCCGAAATAGAGTGACTCTTTTCATGTCGCGAAACAGATTTCAAAAATTTTTGAAAAAAATTAGGACTTTTTAGAAAAAAATCTTCAACTCTTTTTGAGAAAAAAATTTAAAGATCTGAAAACCGGTTTAGAAAAAAATGCGCAATTTAAAGCTCCACAAGATGTACCCATAGAGAGGCGGATAACATAAATGCAAGAAATAGAAAAAAGTAAAAAACCAATGAAAAAAGTGAAGAAATTCAATTTTTGCATCAGAAACCATGAGAAGGGCGCAATAATGCGCCACGGATAATATGCCGCTGGGACCCAAAATTTCGCATTTTTTTTCATTGCGCGGAACACCGTGGATTTCCCATCCATAATTATCATTGTTATTTTCTCCTTAACTTGGAGTTTGATGACAACTATTGATACTTTCCCTCTCCCTCTCTCTCCCTCTTTCTCCCTCTCTCTCTAATTGATCGAATATGTTTACATAGTTCAAGCGCTTTATTGGCTCAGTATTACAAGATCGTGAACTGGCGCCACGATCCACGACTCCAATAGCTGCTCGTGAAGGCTACGCTCGAGAGTCTGTTGAAGAAATACTTTCAAAGTATTTATGGCAACGAGGAAGTACAAGAGATGGAAAGCGCATTGCGTAATGCTTTGAACAAATATGAGAAGAAGGACACGTTGTTTGAGGTTGGTTTATATATTATTTATATACATATAATGTTACTGTACATTTCAGAAACTTATGGAGAACCAAGAGAACGAAGCTGAACCCCTTATACAAGAATGCTTGAGCTTACTTTGTGAAGTAAGTGGTTTTTTGTAACGATTAAATCAATATTTATTATTTCAGAAGAATATGAACCGAGGACAAGATCACACTCCTGAGAGTATGCTGACTTTATCCAAACTATTCATAAAAATTGCGGACTTTCGGCTTGCATGTGAAATGGTGTGGTGTTCTGCCTCAATGGCCGTCCAGGGTAATTTTATTTCTTAATGTTTATGCAATGTATTCGTTTTCAGAGTTTATTACGACTCGAAAACTGAAAGTAAGACTATATTCCCACAACGGAAAAAGGGACTTTGTGCGGGCTCTTTCTCGCGAAATCGGGAACCAGTTTGCTGTTTTCGAAGCGTAAGTGTAGAAGTTTTGTTTCCCATTTTTATGTGTATTATTTGTTTCAGTTGTCACGCGTCGTTCTACACAAACAGCCACAACGCTCGTGCTGTAAACGCAGCCTTCGAGGAAGCAAATGACTTCGTGCAACAGCTTCGGGCATACCATTTGACCGATGAAAAAAAAAAAGAACTGGAAAATGATAATTTCAACTATTAGCTCTGATTCATGTCAATTCACCTTGTCTGGCAGGGTCTCATAAAGATTCCACGTAAGTTAAAAATTGAAGCATTTTCATTTTTAGACCGTCTTTTTGACCTATGAGGAAATTTGTTTCATCATGGTCCATTATTTATTCATTTTTTCCCGTTTGTGTTTCATTGATTTCATTATTTCATTCACTTTTAACGGTTTTTTGTCCTTTTTGAACGTTTCAGTATAAATGATCAGCTTGAAAATGAAATAACAGAAGTTTTTCAAACAGCTCAACGGTCAAACTGTCACTTTATCTTGCTGGGTGTTCGTATTTTTTTGGTTTTTCTCTTTGGTTAAAAATGTTTAATTCTCTTTTATGAGGGCTACTATGAAGCTCATTCAAAAATATTTTTTTGAGAAGGAAACTGGAGTTTTTTTATAAAAACTCAGCAAAAAAATCGTTTTTTTATTTAAAAAAAGTGAGGCATTTCAATTTTTTTAGTCCGTCTTTTTGACCTGTAAGGAAATTTAAAAAAATTAATTGCTTACGATTTTTCAGAATTAACAGAAAAACCTAGAATTTTTTTAAAAAAATTTTTAATTTTTTTGTTCAATTTTTAGAAAAATCTCGCAGTTTTCCTCTGTTCCATGGAATTCCATCATAGTCCATTATTTATTTTTTTCAAATTTAAAATAGCCTTAACTTGAAAACTTGAAAGTATCAGCTTAAAACTGTATTTTTACGATAAGTTTGAAAAATGATCCTAGAATTTTCCTGCTGGAATCCTCTTCGAACATCCTGCTCTTCATCGTGTTTCCATCGATTTCTGTCATTTGTGGAGAATTTCCTAGCCTTTTTCTCATATTTTTAAAAACAGATTCTGAAGCTCGATATTTATTTAAAAAAACTATTAGAGTATGAACTATAACTTTTTTTCACGTGAAAAAAACCTTGAAAAATTCTCGTGAAAAATTTCATCATTTCTTGTTTCGTTTTAACACTAAAATATGCTCCGAAGCCTTATCAGCCCAATTTATTTTCATTGTAAAAAGTCCTCTTGCTCTTTTTTTGATAAATATTTTCAGCTGAACGAGAAGAGATTGGAAATCTCGATAAATGCGCTGTTTGAAGTGCCAAACGCATGTCTGCAAGCGCCATAACTCCTATCGACTCATTACAAGGTTTTTAATGACCAATTAGCTAATTTCAGAATCCAGAATGTCGATTTGATTGATTTTTTGATTTTTTTTTTTAGCATTTTAATGCTAGATTTTCTCGAAAATCATTTTAAAAACCCCAAAATTTCCAGAGATCGACTGCACAAAACAATGTGGCTGAACGACTACGTTATCAAACACTACAGACCCACAAAAATGTCACCTTGGATGTGTATCTGCAGGTAAATATTATGAATAATATTTATTCAAGCGCTTTGGAGGGACTTGAGGACAAAATTGGGCCAAAAACCGTCTTCTGGCTTGGCGAACTCAGATTTTTTCATAGATGAGTTCAAGTTCAAGTAAAGACCTTAAACTAGCCAGTACTGAAGTAAAAACTTTTTGTGATTCTTCTTAAATTGTC